CTGAAGAAGCAAACGTAACCTCCTAGAAGCGGGCCAGCTCTCATATTGAACAATAGAGCCTTACTAACGTCAGCATTCAGATGTATGAAAGTTTATTCTCTGTTTGTATGATCTGTGTGTGCTATAACACATCAACAAAATTGAGTAACTTGATAATGTGAGGACTGTATCATTAGTAACAGTCTGATTTTTCATGTAAACTGGCACGCCTCGTGTAACAGACTTATTAGAGAATAAATTACTATTATTTTAAACATAAAGCACAGAAAGTTAATGAACGTTAATCCTGCTTACTTTACAGAGTTCTAGGCAGTGAAACCACAATGAGTTGTGATACCTTAAAATGTTCGTTAAACAGAAAATTTAATCTTGAAAATTAAGCCTTTTTAGAAACAATTTCGGAGACTCTAAGCAAATTAGAGTTATCCTCCTTCGTTACCAGTTACACGAGTTTCTGAAATAGATTACCAAAAGACACTGAGTCAAGTTAATCATCATAATTCAAGTCTTTCTTAAGCTTCTATTTAGATCTATTTGTTGTTCATTAACCCTCTGTGCGTCATCTCTAGATTGGGGTCCTTTTCACCAGAGACCGCTAAGCACCCAGCATTGCGACTAGATAAATGATTGGCAACCCATGCAAACACGACTAATTTGCTACATAATAGTCAATCTCCTGATGACCTCAGGTTCCACAATTCCAAACATTACATGGTTTTTCCCCTAAATAATATATTTTTCATATAAATACCAAAGCAAACAGATATCCTTTTGGCTTTAGTCGTGAACTTCACAGAATGAAGCTCAGTTACCAGTGGTATCCCATTTTGTCTTATACTGCCTCGGACCATGATTCAGTAAAATATAATGCATTTTGGGCTTGGGTGGGTGGAAAACCTGAAACATCTGTTCACTGTACGAAGGGAACATTAACTGCTTTTAAAATAATATGGAACTTCCCTTGTACATTTAATAATAATGTAGCGGTAAATAAATCCCCAAAATAAATAGCTCTGTAAGTTTTCGACATTGGATGCTGACCACATTCGTTTTAATGAACTCACCCAGCTAAAGACGCTCGTTCATGCATCCGCACCAGATTACGAGTGGGAACGCCGTGTTCAACATCCCCTGCAATCGCTAATCAGATTAGATCAGTCGATTCACGATGTATTGATAGCTTCTCAAATATATCTTCGAACCTCCTCGCTTCTGTCTTTTGATTTCACTTGGTGAGTACAATTCATATTAGGTGTTACTGGGTAAAATGTCGTCCACCTTCAAATGCTTGTGGCATACTGAATAATGATTTATTCTCAAAATACAGTCTGCTATATGAGGCGTGCCAATTTACAGGAAAGATAAATTTGTTACGGGAGATACAATCTTCACTGTAATGAGTTACTCAGTTAGTCTTATATTTTCTTATCAGTTTGGATATTTGTACAGTTCGCTGTCGTATCACTGCTTCTATTTTGTTACCTATGATGAGAATCTCTTCATTTTCATCCTTTCGTATTAACTTATAGTTTTTTAGACCCCGATTTTGTCCTACGGTATAACTTGATCCTGTATCTGTCTTTTCGCGGTCCATAAATCTCAACAATATGATATCCCTGTAACATTGTACTTATGAAAATGGTGTTCTCTGCTGGGGTGAGGGAAATAAAGCTGGGTGACTTATGTCACAGATAGACAAACCATTACTTAAAAAAACTAACATCCAAAGGATAAACATTGAAGTAACTGACTAGAAAACGTTGATGATGAGGGATATGATTTCAGTCGACACAGGTTAATCGTGTTAACATTCTGTTCGTCTCAGATATTTCATAACCGATTACACAGAAATGTGCCATACCTATCCCTGAATATGGTATTTTAGTTTACAACAATTGCTGGCATAATGATATGATGGAAATTGAAGGCGTTTTAGGAAGATTCGCCAGAACTGTTTTGGGGTGTTCTGAAAATAAGGACTGTAACCAAAGACGTCATCAGGTCAAGTCCGAACCCCTCTAGTCCAGGCTCATTTAATCAAACCTTTTATTTATATACCGGCTTATAAATTGTATTTCGTACTCTTCCGCATCTGTCCCTCCACACTTTATTATCATATCCCACAACCGACGCAACAAAGACAATATTACCACCTTAATCATTTTTAAAACCGTTTTTTCTGATTGTGTATCATAACCATGCTTACCAACTTGTTTACACATCTCATCCTTTTTTCTTCCTTTCTCCCTGAAATGTAGCCCAATATTCTTCAAAACACTATATAACCTGTTTAAACGTGGTGAATATTATGAAAACATTATTAAACATTGTGCATAATTGCATTTCTGAAGAAGCCTACTCCGGTTTCCTCACAACACTTATATGAATGAGTTGTTTGTTAATAATAGCGGTAATAATAATTGTAAGATCAGTTTTGAATGCTTGGTGTGTGTGTGTGAAAATCCCTCCATGTACATACCTGCATTTTGTTCCTATTGATCCCCTTAGTTGTACATTGTTAGTTTTTTGATTACATTCAAGTTGTTAATATTTGTATTTTATCATAGTTTTTATTTTTATTACATCTTCACTAAGTCTCCGTGTTTCTTCTCGAACTGCACTTATGTTGTTTTACTTTATACTTGGTCTTGGCGACAGCCATATTGGTTTGTTCCTCCTTTTGATTGCGTTACCTGTGTTGACTGGAATTGTGCATTTTTGGTTGTGAATTGAGGCACTCTTCCAGAATTGAAAACGCTCTGTGTTATAAAGCGACCAAATATTATCTTTTAAAAGAATTTGTGCGTGGTCTATTCAGACAGGATAGAATAACATTTATTTGTTGTGATTGATTTGATCAATTGAACAATTATTGGTTGGATAGCTGAGTGGTCATATTTGTTTAGAATCGTCATTTTACCCAATTACCTCGTTTCGGTTTCAAACGGGCAAGGGCGCGTATCTAACCCACCTAGACAGCTATCCCTCAGTCCAAACCTTAGTTTGGATCTTACAACAACAGCTATTCCACGATATTAAGGTCGTTGCTTTGTGTTTGTTACCTCTGAGACTTTTGGCGAACCCCTCCAGAAGAGCTTATTCAAGATATAACAATACACAAGGTTACTCATAATATACAAAACTGAATTAACACTGCAAACCTAAGTATTTGTTTATGAGCAAAGCAAAAGGTAACGAACCACAGTTACTATATAAATGGCATATTAAACAAAAAACGATAACAGTTGTGAAGAAATAATGTCACGTGTAAGCCGCTCTATGAGATAACAGCCACAAATGAGTTCACTTGGTTAACAAGGTTCATCTGAACGTGGTGGTACCAACGGCGTAATGAGAAAGATTAAATCCGATAGTATTGTTTAATAGTAGTCAGAGGCAAAACTTCAACATAGCGTAGGATGACCTAAAAGGATGTTATAACACTATTATAATCTTCAGTCAAAGGCTGTGGCCAATAAAGCAGGAAAACAGACGGCGGAGGTAGCGTTTGTTCTTCAACAATCGCAGTAGTGTGTGCATATATAACCAGACAATTATATCCTCTTCTCTACCACCGACACAGAGAAACAATAGATATTGAATATAAATGTGGTTACAAACAAAGTGTGACAAATAAAGGAAAATGATGTCTTCGTTTTTCGTCACATAAACACTGAATATAGGTGTTACAATAGACTCTCTAGGGTGTTTAATTGGACAGTATTATTATTTCTTTTCTCATCTTTACTGTCTTTTATTTACGACTCGTCTAATAACGGTATTATACCTTTCAATCTTCTTTGAGTAATTCCATGGTTTTTGTAAAGACTTACGTTTAGTACTTATGTTGTTGTTGAATAATGTCGAGTCATTAGCGACAGAGATTTGTTTGACGGGATTCAAGTCCATGGCATGGTGCAGCCGACCACTCTTTTCTTTGATTGCCTTCTGAGAACGGTTATTTGAATCATTGTAGATAGGTATTTTTTTCCAATCTTGTTAGGGATACTCCTATAGATTCTCATGTACGAAGCGCTTGCTTATTAACCTCTGTTATTACTATAAAGTACGTTGCTTTGAGACAGATTAAACTTTGATCTTACAGCACAGGCTGTATCATTTGAACCACTAAGTAATTTCGGTATAATTTGTTTCTTGAATTAGAATCCATTGCACTTATCTCAGTGTTATTATTATGACATAATTTAACACGAACTAATTAAATGAGCTTTGCACGCAATACAAGAGAACTTCGTTCGATTCAATTAAATCAACTTCGGTTTTTCAGCTCTTTGCTATCAGACCAAACGTTCAGATTTTGTTCGCTTCAAAGCTTTATTTCTGTTCCGAACAACTAAGTTTTGTCAACTACTGAGATTCATTGGCCTCACTGGTTCTCCTTTATCTTCCTTTATCTTTATCTTTATCCTTCCAGCACGAAGATTGGGTCTTTTTTAAAAACTTTAACTACATACTGTAAATGTCTGTTCGTCGCGTTCAGGACCTAAGCTAGACGCTGTGTTTTGACTGGCTAACTTCATATCTAAATAATCGATTTTTTAAGACTAGTGTTGACTTCACTTTTTCTCAGGCGACAAGATGAAAGCTACTATTCCGTTCATAAGCATTTGATCCATTTCAGATTCAGATTAGTTTAGTAAAGGCAGGAGGCCTACGGCCTATGGTGTTCCCTTTCTAGTATGCTTCTGTGAGTGTCCAGTCTTCTCTTGAATGAGTCAGTTGAAATTGTGGACACCACTTCTTCGGGTAACAAATTCCAAGTGTTGGAACTGTTTCATTGGTCCCTGGTGAAACCTTTAACCGATGAAATAATTTAAAACTGAGGCTAACCTCACACCTAATCTACGTTGTTCTACTCTATTTATTGTTAAACGAACGGTAAATTCTTGGACATTAACATTTGTTATAATCCACTAAGGATCTAAGCTGCACACAAACAGTAGAGCGGACTGTTGGATAATCTGTTGGGAATATACGTCATGCCGGCTGAAAAAATTACACATTGTGGAAGTGACCGCAAAATTGAAGAGCACAGTTTGCAAGCAGGTCAGCTTAGTATCTCCACTTTGCCTATTGCTCCGGGTTACTTTCAGTTTACCCGACTTTTGACACTTGTCCATGACCAATTGGTCATGCACATATTAATATGGTATTTTTTCCCTCTTCATTTCGCCTGTAGGGTTTTCACGTTATTCTCAGACATTAAGCTTATCCATGGTATATGATGGCCATGCAATCACATGAAAGCCGATTGTCAAGTTGTTGGTCAGTGTCTTTTATGATATCATAAGAATACTATATACTACTATATAGTATTTCAGAAAGTAAATTATGATAGCTCCGTAGTAGTGTGATAAAAATCCACAATAATATACTTTCTTTTGTAATAACCACCAAACGGAACAACGTCTTGTGGACATGCGTATAAAATTTTTAATTTGAGTTTGTGGTCCTAGTCACCTAATGGAACTCCAATTTAGGTAATTGGTTGTTTTTCTACGAATCTATGTATCGATGTTTATTCCATATGATATATCCTCCTCAATGATTTTTACGATTTCTTATAAGTCGTAGACTTTTCCTAGGGATTCACCACCAAAAGTAGTTTTGATTGTATTTTTTCATGTATGATGAATTTATCGTAATAAAGTAGATGTTAAGTGTTTTTCATTAGATTCGATAAAATTATCACTGGTGCAATCTTGTTTTCGATACTGAGCGTTCTGCTGGTATTTCAAAATATTCAACACCATTCTCCTACCTTTTTAACTGCTAGTCACAATATTTTTACTAGCCCAATAACCAGTTGTATACATAATCTGTTAATTACATCATAAATCTTTGTAGGTTTATTTATCATCAATTTATACCTTCTAAGTCGTTAGGTAATTAGCTAAAACAGACTTCAAGTTTCCGCGCCACCCCATTTATTCCTGTTTTATCACCCGAATAGCTTCACCATCCGTCAGTACAACTCGAAAGTCCAAATATGCTCTGGTTTAAACTGCCGTTCGAGACTGCAATATTATCATTAAATAACTATTATGTAACTCGGTTGCCTTCATTTCGATGTTGTTTGGTGTATGCACTACCAAGCCAAAACGTGATATCAGTCCATGAAGTCACTGACTATTGAATTGGTCTGTATTGATAGGTGTAGACTGTTTAGAGTCCTCGGGTTTATTGTAACTAACTGTTTCATATGAAGTTCAGTAATAATAAACGTAGAATTCGGCGTATGCGTGCATCGGTCAGAGTTTTCACAACACATCTCACCGATATGAGACTATCATGATAAATCTTGAGATAACAGAAGTAATAACTGTATCAGTGATAGCAGAAGAGATCAGACAAATGCAGTACGATTCCAAAGCAATGAGTTTGTGGTGTAAAAAGGGTCACCGAACGCCGTGGTACGGCCGAGAGTGGGGAGAGTCAGCTATCCCTCTCGAAATGCTCTCACATGGCCACGTGCATATAACCACTGCTAGGGAAGTCCTACTCACTACCTCGTGGCGGGGTTGTTGATTACGAACTTGAGAGAATAGAAAGCGAATGTCCGGCGTTTTAATCGGGTTGGTAAACACGGAGAGTCCATCTAGGGGAGTTAGAAAACCCTGATTCCAAACTGTTGGTGCACATAGTCTCCAGTATCCCGAAAGAACAAATAGTGTATGAATCAATTGTTGGTCACCGGCTACCGTGGGACTGCATCTCCTGACGTTGCTCCAGTGCCTTGTGGATCAGACCTTCAGGTCAAGGGCTCCGGGAGTGACCCCTTAAGAAAACCACCTGCTTCGTTTTGTGTACTCGGGCAGTATCTTAGCCCTCATACATATCGAATGATTTGTGTAGTGCATATCAATTTTGTGCCACCTTGTACCAATGCTTGTGTTTAAATAAAAAAATGTAAAGGATTTGATGAGGAGATAAGGAGTGATTTTAACTGCTCCATTGTAACCATTTTTGGAACATGTCACCCAACGTTACTATTATCCTAAGAAACCCAACGGGTTAGTCTCTATCTACCAGGACAGCTCATTTCAGCAGTCAATAACTCGACTGGTGCCACTTTTTGATTTGACTGCGCCTAGCTTTCCAACTTATGCACCAGCAAACATCGCGGATCTAGGTAGGCGGTAGTTAGGCATACAAAATACATTTCTCAACCTCCACATTCTGTAATTTTGATCATCCATTGAGCTACTGTTTCGCAACTCCAGTACTGTGAACAAGACAGTTGCTGTCTTTTTCATTGCCTCAATAACTAGAGTAAAAGGTTCAGTTTCCTGATGGGCTTTGTTGATTAAAACCTTGGTAAGACTAAAAATACACTTATGTTAATCAGTTGAAGTTAACCATATATTCACCTTGAATCAACATTGATATTCTTCCCCATAAGTTGTATTCGGTTGTTCCATATTCCCAGTAGACTCACCACCCCACAAACCGATTTTCTATCTTCACCTAGTGCCCTGCATCTAACCTCAGAATTACTAACTTGATTAGGAATGAAATATTTACAAATTTGTCTATTTATTTGAACATAAATATTGGTACAAAGGGACACCAAATACATATGCGCCACACAATAACAATGAGAATGTGAGGACATAGAGAATGTAAAGTGCGTATAATAAAAATGAAAACAACAACGAACAGAAATTAGTGTATGAGAGAGATAATAAACATGGCAGATGAAGTTCAGCTAGCAAAAGTACGAACAGAAAGAATAGTTTCAGTTAAAGTTATTTTTTTTTATGAAGAAAGTAAAATAAGGTTACAGCAGGGTCGCCATTGGCTTCTATTCTGAGCCATATCTGATAACGTCTCTAGCCACTGTGTTGTACCATCTCTCGGACCCCAACCAGGGAGTCGTGAAGGACCAACAGAAGCCAGCCCTTTGCAGCTTTCTTTCATGCCACGACACCATGTCATGTACTGACCACCTCCGCTTTTTCCAACCAGTCCCAGAGTCGGCAAATAATGCACGACGTGGAATTCTCTGGGACGACATTCGGAGAACATGTCCAAGCCACCGAAGTCGGTATTTCAAGATGGTGACACCAATTGCATTATCGTCTCTGTGCCCGAACACACGATGCCGAACCTCTGAATTACTAACATGGTGTTGCCACTGGATGTCAGCAATCCTTCGGAGACAGCGATGATCGAACACAGAGAGTCGTCTAACGTCCTCAACTCGGAGAGGCCAGGTTTCACAAGCATAGAGAAAAACTGCTCTCACGACGCGTTGTAAATCCGACCTTTTACGGCCAGACTAACATCACGAAGGCGCCAAAGGTGGCCCAGATTGGCATAAGCCGCTCTGGCTTTCACTATACGTGTATTGATCTCATCACTCACACCCCCACCAGCACTTATGCAGCTACCCAGATACACGAACTTCTCGACTATTTCTATCTGCTCATCATCCAGGGTGAGTACAGGATTAGGATCCTGTCAGTCTTGTAGGAGTACTTTGCGTTTCGAAGATGCAAAGCACATACCATACCTACGGACACTGATTGTCAACTGATTATTTATTTATTTATTTTTTATTTGAACACATAAATATTGGTACAAGAGAGCGCCAATATATATGCGCCACACAAAACAATGGGAATTCGAAGAGAAGTAGAAAGAAGAAAAAAACTAAGGAACGCAAAAGAAAAAGAGAGTAATGACGAAGAGGTACAATCAGAAGAAATCTTTCAGGTAAAGGAGACACAACCACTTTTTATGAAGAAAGTGAAAGAAGGTTACAGCAGGATCGCCACTGGCTTCTATTCTGAGCCATATCTGATAACGTCTCTAGCCACTGTGTAGCACCATCTCTCGGACTCCAACCAGGGAGTCGTGAAGGACCAACACAAGCCAGTCCTTTGCAGCTTTCTTTCATGCCACGACACCATGTCATGCACTGACCACCTCTCCGCTTCTTCCAACCAGTCCCAGAGTCGGCAAATAATGCACGACGTGGAATTCTCTGGGACGACATTCGGAGAACGTGTCCAAGCCACCGAAGTCGGTGTTTCAAGATGGTGACACCAATTGAGTTATCATCTCTGTGCCCGAACACACGATGCCGAACCTCTGCATTACTGACATGGTGTTGCCACTGAATGTCAGCAATCCTTCGGAGACAGCGATGATCGAACACAGAGAGTCGTCTAACGTCCTCAACTCGGAGAGGCCAGGTTTCACAAGCATAGAGCAAAACTGCTCTCACCGACGCGTTGTAGATCCGGCCTTTTACAGCCAGACTAACATCACGAAGGCGCCAAAGGTGGCCCAGATTGGCATAAGCCGCTCTGGCTTTCACTATTCGTGCATTGATCTCATCACTCACACCCCCACCAGCACTTATGCAGCTACCCAGATACACGAACTTCTCGACTACGTCTATCTGCTCACCATCCAGGGTGAGTACAGGATTGGAATCCTGCCAGTCTTGTAGGAGTACTTTGCAGTTCGAAGGTGCAAAGCACATATTATACCTACGGACACTGATTGCCAACTGATTACGTGCGGATTGCATGCCTTGGGCATTATCGCACAGTAAGACAATATCGTCCGCATACTCAAGGTCGAGAAGTCTTTCTCCAGGCAACAGATCCACACCACCATTACTTACATTCATCAGAGCTGTTTCCAGAATGTCATCGATGGCAAAGTTGAAGAGGAATGGTGAGATTGGGCAACCCTGCCTAACCCCACTACTCGAATGGAGCAATGGAGAAAGGTGGTTGTATGCCCTCACTCTGCCTGAGGTGTTTTTATATAGGGCTTTTAGGATGTTAATAAACTTTTCAGGCACACCCTTCTTCTATAGACAATCCCAGAGAGCAGTTCTGTCCAACGAATCGAAGGCAGCCCTGATGTCAAGAAACACTACGATTGTTGGCCTTTGAAAAGTATGGCGGTGTTCTAACATTTGGCGGAGGGTGAAGATATGATCAATACATCCTCGACCAGAACGAAACCCAGCCTGCTCCTCGCGAGTCAATCTTTCTCGGGTTTTGAACAACCTACGAAGAATGACGGAAGCCAATAGCTTGGACGCAATCGGAAGTAAACTTATCCCCCGATAGTTGTTACAAGAACGACGTGAACCCTTTTTAAAGATAGGGACAACTATCGACTCATTCCATGACGTTGGTACACTCTCTAGTTCCCAAACCTTTGTAAACAACGTCATCAATTCCTTAGTCAGAAAGTCACCACCATCTTTAAAAAGAGCCGGAGTTAAGTCATCTGGGCCAGGTGATTTGTAACGCTTCAAGAGTTGGAGTTCCTTGCGGACTTCCGCCCCATTTGGTGGATCATTCGTCACCGGCCATGGAGGGCAGGACAGTCTGACCGATGTTGCCGGAGCAGCAGGCCAGTTGAACTGCCCTTCGAAAAATTCTGTCCATCGTCCAAGACGTCGATGGATGTTAGTGATTGGCGTCCCGTCACCGCAGATTGTTTCGCTCATACCAGACTTCTTGCTGCCAGTGGTTCGGATGAGTTGGAAGAGCTTCCGGTAGTTACCAGATGCAGCTGCTGCTTCCAGCTCATTAGCACGCTTCGACCACCAGGCTTCTCGGTCCTTACGCAAACTTTGCTCATTTTCACTACGTAACAACCTTCGTTTGTGGTCAAACTCACGGTCACCCGGAGTAGACCGACGGGCTTCAATGAGTTGTAAGGAGCCTGAAGAAACCCAGTGCTTAAAAGCGGGACGTTTCGCAAACCCACAACTGACTGTACCCGCCATTTTCATGGCGTCATGCAATTCCAACCAATGCTCATCTATACTTTTCGGTGGAATGGTAGCTAGCCTAGAAACTAGCTCGTTTCGATACTTACTAGCAACAGAAGTTGCAGCCAGCTTGCTAACATCAACCCGTTGGTGGCGGTCACTTCGTTGGCCACTAAAAAGTAAGGTAAGATTGGCGTAGACTAAGGCATGGTCAGAGTCCAGATAGGTACTCCAAAAGGAGCGGCAGTCTTGTACACAACCACGCCAGCGGTAGCTGATCGCGGTGTGATCAATCTGAGTCCAGGCTTGAGATGCAGAGGGAGTACGCCAGGTGGCACATCGGTGATGACTGTGCCGAAAGTTAGTGCTAGCCAGAAACAGGTTGTGGTCTGTGCAAAGTTGCGGTAGACAGTCCCCGTTATCTGACCTGCGACCAACGAGTCCCCATCGGCCACCTAAACGACTCTTCTGTGCCTAGACGCCCGACCTGAGCATTCAAGTCTCCGGCTAGTACTACAATATCTGTCGAACGCACTTTCTGGAGAAGAACAGATAATTGGTGGTAGAATTCATTCTTGATTGCATCTGGGCTGCAATCTGTCGGGGCATAGGCGGAGACGACATAAAGACATCGTTTCCCACACCGATTTCCTCTCACTTTGATAGAACTTCCTAATCTAACAGCACATAACCGACTGTTAATGGGGATCCAATCGATTAGTGCTGCCTCAGCTCTAGCGCTTAGTGCGACACCAACGCCAGCAAGACCAGACGAAGATGCCACAGGGTCCACGGATAAGCGCACCTAAAACAAGTTTTTCGAAGCGACAGATGGAGATCGAATTTGTAGTACTTCGCCAGAGTCAGTCAGTCAGTAACAACGTAGAACTTCGTACGTACGTACATCAGTTCGAGTTGCCACACCACATTAGCACAGAGATGCAGTTGTCGATTCAAATCCTGTAGTGGTAGAGGTAATATCCTGTTTTACAAGGTTACGTTTCTCACCTGTAACGTAAAAAAACACAACTACTCAGTATACTCGTCCCTTAGTAGACAAACATATGAGCTACACTACGAGTGACCCATGTAGGTAAATGGTAACCGAGATTTTGTCTGACCAATCCACCAGGGGTGATAAGGCTTCTAAGAAAAGTGATCGACATTACCAACTTCACTCCCATCATTACTTTGGACGTTAATGTAGACCATTACTAAAGCTTATCGTAAACATCCTTGCGTTGTTGCTCAAAGTGATCGGAAGATTGCATTTTACCAGCGTCTTCTAACAACTATCTCATCTACGTATTTGAAGTCAACAAGTGATTCCTCTGGTAGATCGGTTATTAAAGAGTTAGCGTTATCGCCTAAAAAATGTCTATGGTGAAGTTGAACAATATGCCATTTAGACTTTTGGAGGTTAACAAGCAACTGAAGAGTAGCTTAAAGGCAGTTGAACTGGTCCTTTAAGTTTTTAATCTCCCGTCCCGACAACTTTTCTGAAAGTGGATCATCTTCTCATCTTCACGCAAGTCCCGCTAATGCTTAACGTTGTTTCTTTGCTGCGTAAAAGTGTCGTAAGCCTCAGTTTATTTCCAGTCGACCTGCATACTTGGTGGTCCAATCACAACCGCTATTATCTTTGATTTTGTTCTGGTTAGAGTCAGGGTCCTATATATAGGATACGATTAAACAATAATGTGTATCTCTATATTTTAGAGTTCTTATAACTTCGTTCGTTCGCAGTATGCAAGCGACTGTAACTCTGATTGAAAGTGCTTTTTCTATTTATGTAGGACCTCGAGAACCGCTCTGATCGCATGCTTATAACTCACCTCAGTATTTTGACTAACAAGCTCGAATAACGAAGAACGGAGTTGCATCCCCTTAATAATCACACACTTTTGGTTAGCGTTCCTCATCTTCGTTGTGTAGAACTTTTCATAACGTCTAAATAGCTTTTCATCATTCTTGTAACCCATCAGAATAACTTCCGGTTTATAAGTTCGCCTTTGGTCTCATTTTGACAGTATCCATTTCCAGTGTACAGTTGATTAGACAATACTTGGCTACCTAAACATAGAAGTCGTCTATATGCCTCTAATTGTTCATAAAAAATGAGCTGGCTTTTTAACTAGTCGTGTTCCTGTGTTTATTAGGTTTCGGTCATTTTCAATTCTAGTCTCTGGTTCAACATCAGTCGTGATTTTTCGCTTCTGAATGACCTAAAGTGTCTCAATCACTGAGATGATAAAAACAAACACGTGACAACTACACCGGGTAGATAAACACAAGGTTCACTTCTATGTAAAAACCTTGATTCTAAACTAACTGTACTTAAACTCCAGTATCTCAGAGGGACAAATGATGTACAGACCTATTCCAATCAACGGCCCATACGAGAAAAGACTTCTCAGTGTTGATCCAAAACATTGTGACTTACTCGCATAGATGAAATATATTTGAGGACATGAGTCGCTAGGAAACGTTTGCTTTGGTTAAGCTGTCTTGATTGCATCATAGTCTTCACAAATAAAATTCACCAATAGCTCATACTAATACCTCTCTTGGTATATGGATAATCACAAATCGCATTTTGCTACAAAATGGTCATTTTATACTACATATATGTGTGCTGTTCTATTTCCGCTTGCAATATTTTTCATTTTGACCTCAGCAACTAGTACCTATTAAAATTATTATGCTACACGAATGGTCAATTTTTAAGCATCTTCGCTGAATGCAATATCTTACGCAGCAGTTATGAAACCATAGTTACTTCTATTAACGTCCACGCCTTGATGTAGGTCTAACAAGAGACAAGTTTGGTTAAAGCTCTCATATCCCTCGTTACTGTTTAGTGTTCAGTTGCTTGTTTCCTTAATCTCAGTTAAATTTTTCTCATTTGTCCATCGACTCGAGAAGTTTTACAGTCATGTATCTGTCGCTGGTAACTTGGGACATTAAACCTTCGTCTTATGCAATTAATTTACCCAAAACTGTTTTTCGTTTGACTGTTCTAACTCAAAGTTGTCATTAATCAACATCTCATACTCACAACTCACATTTAGTTCTATCCACAGACAGCGTGGCTGTTATATATGTTTTAATGTATTTCTATGGTGTTTATAAACGTCTGCATTTTTACAGACCCACCTTTTGACTTTTTCATGGAGCAACTGTTTCGAGTACATTTTCTTCCACCACACGTACATTGGCGTGTTAATAATGCGAATAAAACTTGTATTATTCGGGTCACATTTGGTTTAATCTCTTATTTAACTTCCCCAAATTTGTCTACGAAGAATTCATTTGTCTTTGATTCATTTCCGTTTAGTTACCACCAACCAATATTTAAATCATTTAACCTGACTTATGATATCTTTTTGTCGTAGGTATGGAACATACAGATGCAGTTAACAAAGACAACAGTACTACTATGACTTTCCATTCAAATACTGATGTCAATCCTGGGAATTATGTTACTGATTTTGATAATAGAGTTGAATGTTCATTTTGCTGTGGCGAAAATGCAGAGTCCGAATCTGGTCAGCGGTCTTGTCAACATTGGACTCAGGTGCGTCCGTCTAACACAAGGCAAGCACAAAAAAAGAAACTCAGAGGACTTCAAAACGGCCATCATGATCCTTCTCGTTATACCAATAGTCGAAATACAAAAGAAAATACAGACATACAACGTCCCATCATTAACGGTAATTCAATTGATGGGCAAAGTATGCGTAATCCAAGTGATACTAATACTTCAAATTCAGCGGCTTCACGCTTTAAATATGATAGATCTTTGCATTCAAGCAACAAAAATGCACCAACATCTAACACAGAACAAACTAAACCTGTAGCATCTAATTCATCTTCTCCAGCTCCATCTGTTTCTTCGGATCTCCCAAATGGACATGACTTTAGTGATAGTAGGACATTCCCTCGATATGCACATAAATCGTCACGTTCATTTAGATCATCTACTCAAGCCAACGAGTCAGACGATCTCAACAGTCAGCGTTCAAACGCTTCACCCGTTACTGTTGGTGGAGCTAACACGAGAACCCGGGCTTCAGTGAGTCGGTATAATGTAAATATGTCACCCCAGTCTGGGACAATCCCTAATGCATATCAAAATGGTCCTTTTGATCAGTGGCGACGTCCTAATAATAATGGCAGTTTGCGAAGATCACATCAACAGCATTTCGTACCTCGTAATACCAGTCAGTTTCACCGTTATAATGGACCGGCAGCTCACCCTGGTCGACCTCATCAGAACAATTTCTCACGGAATCGCATTTCAGGCTCTGGAATGGGAGATTCACCTCCCGTACAAGCAAACGACTCACCTAATCCTGTTCTTAATGAATATAATTCACAACCTGATTCAGTCCGAGAAGATCTAAAAAAACCACAGACATCTTGGGCAACTGTTGCAGTGGGTGTCCAATGTGAACACAAACTCTATACACCTAAAGATAATTCACGAGACCAACTAGTTAGTTTCCTCCTGGAACAGTGGCGCCGTTTCGACCGAAAATCGACCTAATGCACAAATTAACACGAGACGTATTTTTTAAGTATCCCGTTTTTCACCTATGGTATCATCTGGTATTGTTTTGTACTGGGTGGGATGTTACATTCTTTCTTCCTCTCTCTCTTTATATATATATATATATATATATATATATATATATATATATATATATATATATATATATATATATACATCCCACGAATTTTTATACGACACGCTTAATGTCGGAGAAATAAAGTTTATGTAAAAATGAACCTTTCATAGATTTATTTTAAGGTTTTCGTTTATGGCGCTTGATTTCTTCCTGCTATTAACTTAACTTCTTAAATCGAAATGCAAGTTATTTTGAAAAAGAACTCAAGATTCAAGTCACATTCCTTATGATCTATTATTTATTTATTATCTACTACTTACCTATTGTATAACTACTAAGGAAAGTGGAGTCGGGACTGTTTCCAGGATGTCGAATGAATTCTCCTCTCTATGTTTTTCAAATACTTTGTCCCAGTACTCATATTGGTTTTCTTTACTGCTTTATAGATATTGCATGGTTAAGCGTGTTGTTTTCTTCTAAACCATCACTATTACCATCATCCCCAGATATTACTTGTTTGATATATTGATCTTTAATTTATATTGTTCAAAAGTAAACATTTCAAATACACTTCTAAATAAGGCAACTTTTTCTCAGTTCTGTTCATTTAAACAGTTTAAACTTTGTATCATTTTTTTCCGCATCATTTCATTTCATTATGAATCTATTTATACTGTAATTTCACGAGTAAAATGCGTGTACCAGTTTAATTGTATTCTTTTTGGGAAAAAAAGTTCTTTTATTTTGTTAGTAACATTAAAATGTTTTTGGGGTACAGAATTATGTTTATTATTGCAACCACTATGGCTTCACTTACATTTTATTTTCCATTTTAAAGCTATATTTATTGAACATACATACCTCTTCTATCCCCTTTTACCTTTATCGTTTTCTGTAAGCAGATATGTTCATTTTGAAACATTCAGATATTTGGATAACTGGTTTGTCTTCCATATCTTTTATAATTAAATGGTCTAAATGTTTAAAGGGATTTATGCAAGAATGAATTTATTAGATTTGTTAAAATGGACTTGTAACAATTATTTATCTAGACTAACCTAGTTATGTATGGAACTTCTAATTTCATAGTCTTACGTGTTATGTTAACACTCAAGTAATACAATTTCAGTATGAACTGTATTTCCTGCTTAGAACTGTTTGCTAACGAAGCAATATTGAGCACTGAAAGTGATTTCCTTCGCCGTAATTATCATTGTTACGACATTGAAACAACAAAATAGTTTTTAACTTGATGGAGCATGATTATGTCTTATTTACGAAAGATGGTATACACATATTTAGACGTTTCTCAACGTTCTTGTGATTCTACAATGTATTGACAACGGTCACACACAAATTCAGTAGTTTCGCTTTCTGTGTGCTGTTTTTACTGATCGTAGTGTTTGGGTCGACCACTCATAAAACTGTGGTTAAGACGTTCGACTTTCAGGCTTGAAATCGTATGTTCAAACTCCTCATCGCCTAAGTTGATTTGGGCAACTGGGTAGTCCCATTAGCCCTCATATCTAGAATATGACTCATACCTAAGTGCGTGGTAAATGAGTTAATTATTATTAATGTGTACTGTACTCATAAAACTTGAATATTTCAAACGGAAATTATTCGATAGTGAAAATAAAAACAAAATTTCCACTTAGAACTTTCAATTGGTTGAAATACAAGCTAGTAGATAAAACTTTGATGCTTTAGTCTACCAAAAGGTATAAGAACGAGACGTGTTCATGTTTGTTTTTATTAGATGATGACTTACTGAATGCCTCCTAAAATTCAATAACTTCATGATTTAGAAAGGCGTAGTTACTAACTATGGTTTTAGAGTTTGATGTGGACTTTATTCGATAGCGATGAAACTAATTGTTTTGGGTGGTGGGTTTTCAATTTGTGGGAGATCATTCATATTACTAAAATGTTACTCTTTGATATGAACTATCCAACTCAAAATCCTAAAGATTTTATCGACTCGATGACCAAATTGCTTGTAATGGTAGTGCTAATAGCAGTGTGAACTATTCTTTTGGGACTTAGTAAACTCTGTCTGGTGATTATCATCCTCTTTACTTTGACAACTATATGTACCTGACCAGCACTAACTTCAGACATGATATCCACCCAACAACATCATTAGTGATTATCGGTTGGGAGCGATGAAAGATACTAAATCTGTATCTGACCATTCGACGTTGAGGAATATGAGAGCATGACAAGTTTTTCAAATGAAGAAATAAGCTTGCCAAGTTCTTATTTCAATAGTTCTCATTCGGATGTTGCTTGCTAAGGTCGGTCTGCTGTAGATTGTGTGCAAAACAACAGGCTGTAGATCAGTTGAAGCCAACGTAGTTTAAGCACATTGATTAGCCGTTTACGTTGATAACCGCGAGTAGTGGTTGTTGTGGAAATATCCTTAAATTTGTGAAGAGCTCTTTAACGGACACTAATAAATGCGGTGGCTAATAGAGGAGTTAATTGATTGGCAAAACCAGAAGTAGGGGCTGTAAAAGTTCCAACTAACTCCCTAAGGTAAAATTATGGTCCCATTAGATAAGTAAGCCAACCTTTAGTTGAAGTTAATCTCATGATATTGGAACAAAGCAAAAATGAATAAGATTTGCAGAGTCATATGATGTGTTGTAAGAATTTTGATCTCAGAATCCTAAGTTCGGTCATTAGAGGTTATTACCTAGTTTATCTAGAGTACACAAACCGTAGGTAATCTGCTTTCATCAGTCATTCAAAAATACGAATTAATTATATCCTCTTCGTTAAGACTGGGTCTTTGTACCTTGTAACCGTTTCTCTCCAGCGTTAAAGATTCACAAGTAAAGATAATTGTTTACTAACAACTCAGGGATTATTCCCCTACTCAAATATTGTTAGGCTGATCTAGATTATGCAGATGAAATAATATTATTAGTTAGAAAGATGAGGTCTTCTTATCTTTCACGTTCGTTTTCCACAAATGGAGTGGTGAAACCATTGTAAAAGCAACGACACATGTACGGTGGCTGAGTCACTTATTACACCAGCTCACTAACTATTAGTAACAGCAGTGCAGGGTAAGATCGGATCAGGCTGAAGGGACACTAAGTGCAACAAGGCAAAAGCATGATGTTGTCCCATAAACCTGAAATTCAGTCTGGATTCCTCAGATTTAGGTGTTTTATTCTTTCCACACTGAAGTACGGAAACCTCGTGCAGTGTTTTATACCAACCTCGTTTAATATTTCACTGCTCAAATAATTCTAATTTTATGTTTTAAACTTTCCGAAGTTTCAACCCACAAATTCTAAACTGGACAATTTCATCGGTGATATTCGTAATCTTGGTAATACTTTTTTTATTCAGAGGAGCTCGAATTTGTTTTTGATCTCATCTTAAGAAGAGGAGGTGGCTGAATGATGTCTTAATCTTGGCAGCGGAGATTTCGTTTGGTTCAATTTTCCTTTGAATGCATCAACAGAAGAAGCTCCAGTCACGTATTCTGTTAGAGCTTCACCTGTTTACAGTTCTATTGGAAAGTCGATGTCTCTGTAAACTCTTTGTCTTCGACGACGAGTAGAATGATGCGAGACTACTACTAAGTAACTTGAAAGCCATGATTAGATCCTTTTTAATCCTTCTGTATGACGACAGGAATAAGTTTAATTTAACCGGTTGCAGCAACTTTGAAGTTACAAGATTCAGCCTAGTTTAGGGTGCTTTGACCATTTTCTAACAGTTCAGTATTTTTTTTCAAACATTGGCTGGTTGATTGAATGTTATATTCAAGGTAGTGAACTGCCATCAACTGAGGTGGTTAGGACACGTTATGTATCCCCAATCACCGCCTACCTCGATGGGCGGTGTTTTCTAGTGTAGGACGTGGTTAGAAGATAGCTAGGGGTGGTTAAGTCAAAACATGGCGTCAGTCCATGAAGTCAATAATAATTGGACTGAGCCATGTTAATGGGTGTAGACTACCTGGTTGGGGTCCGCATGGTTATCATAGCCGATGCTTAGAGACTTCGAATGACATAGCTCAAAACCGTTACAAAGGTGCAGATTCACTCATTCTTTGTCTTCCCACAAATTCTGAGTTCCTCATAACGTTTTTTTGTATTTTTATTTCACTAATTTATATTTTCTCGAATCGTATTCTTAGTGCCCTTAATCTCCCCTGTTCTGAGATTTAGTCTGATGATTTCATCACTCAGTGCTAACTGGGATATGGTAACCTTAACCAACGTATATACGTCCGAGGTTCTACGTTGTAACTGACTGACTGAATACAATAGTATTATTTGCAAAGTATTGATGAGGCGGTTGTGAACCTTTTAGTAACAACAGCAAGGAAGTGTGCCGTGATCTTCAAGTTTGGATTGATTATGACTTACATAAATGTGTCTGGACAACAGAGTTTAACATTGTTCACTGTGTAGGTATCTATACCTCGGTATGCAATAGCACAATATAATGCGTCTTGTGGTATTGTCAGAAAACACTAATTTTAGATAACTAAGACTGTGATTTCGGTTTTTAGCAATATCATCTATTATTTACAAGATGCATTGAATAACTCTACCCGAACTCTCGAATATTAATCAAATTTTAATTTAAGAATCTGAAATTTTTATGCATCTGTTAGATGTAGGACAAATAGTTTCAACTCCAATTAAACATGAAAGCTAAGTAACCAAATAGATTATTTATTTCTGCAATAAAAAATGTTTTAGTTAGGTGACTATTGAGATTTATGAAATGAGGCACATTGTAATAACATGACTAGTGAAGTTTGAATCATAAAGTGTTTATGACTACACCGTTTGACCTATTTTTCCGAATATTGATTTTGATAAGTGAGAATTTGTGAGACTTATTTCATTTACGCCTTTTGCTTAGGCTGCAGACCAAAGATCTCCAAGTGACTCTATCCCCCATTTTCCCTCCCAGCTGTTGCCGCGTATTATCTGTGATCTCAATGTCTCACTTCAATTCCTGACACATTGCGTTTCCTGGTGTTCGTCCTTTTCTTCTGGCTTTAGGATATGAAATTAGGG